TCTGAAACAAGAGGTTGTCTAGATATGCCCACTTTCCTGATACATATTGTATATTAAGGGCGGTCACTAATCTATGTCAAATCATTCCAAAAATCTAATTTGTACAAGATGTTGTTGATTTACTCAAACACAAAATTTCATAAATTATGGGCATAAACTGTTAAAAAATTGTGATGCATTTTTACTAGGTCAAGGGCAATAACTCAAATTCCATTCATCGAAAAATTGTAAAATTTGAACCTGACCAAGATCTCATCATGATAAATGATCACATCAAATTTCATTGAAATCAGATTAAAACTGTTGTCTCTATTGCGTTCACAAGCCAATTGTGGATGGACAGACCCATGGACGGACAGGGGCGACGACAATATACGAACACATTATAATGTGGACGTACAAAAACTAGTAGCCTCCATCATGTTGATGATCCAATAGTGTCCACTTGAGTATGTCCACTTTTCATCTATTAACCATAAGCTCTACCTTACTTATTCCTTTATTTAGATCATTTGAACACATAATCATATCCTACCTTCTTCAGAACTACTGTCAAATAAATCAGCCTTTATTCTACGTCTTTTAGTTTGATTCTTTCTATTATCTTCTGCATCACTACTAGCTTTCTTTTTACCATTTCTACTGAGATGAAATGCAATCAATAAATGACACATTATATAGTATTCAAATCTCAAATTGACACATTTTGAGAGTTTTTATTAATAAAAAATTAATAAGTATATTCATACAGGTTATAGACTGTATTTTATTTCCTATACAGATTCCTGAACTTGAGTTTTAAATACTAAGATACCAAAGTGAAATTACCGTGTATACAGTCAAGTAACCTAATTTCGTGGTAACCTATTTTTCGTGGATTTCTGGAAATGTTTAATAATTTACATGAGCGACCTTGTGCGACCTCCGCATTAGCTTGTTTTGATAAACATGGGTTTTCTCTACAATATCAGTAGTTTCAAGGTAAAATGTACTAATGTATACTCTGACAAATACAAAATGGCGGATTTCACTTATTACCAAACGTCACCATTTTTCACCGGCCGAATTTCCTTATAATCCCAAGCGGTAATCGGAATTCCAAGTGTCGTCTGCTAGAATGTAGTCCAACGAATGAAGTCACGTGATCAACTAGCAGATTCCATGTCAGCAGGAAATTCTATGGAACAAGTGGACCATAATCTTATGTTGTTTCAGTGACTTTTAGCTATAAATCACGCTACGTACCTTATTTTTTCAGTCACTATTTTTTTTTAAATCGTGGTTCTTTGTAGGAATTGTCACTAGTTATAATGAATTGATATTAAAGATAAATACTAAGAGAAGTTAATTAAATCACCTGGTATCCATACGTGTTTTTCTAGACTTATTTATAGATCAAACATTGTACACGAAAATAGGTGACGCATTCTGCCGCCGTTGCAGAGTTGGTTGCTTATGAAATATGGGTCAAAGGGAAGGATTCATAAAGAAAATCGAAATAAACCAATTTTAATTATTTTGTAGAATATCTGAGGAAACATCTAAGACATAAAAATAAAAATTCGTTTTTTTAACTTCGACAAAGTCGGTGTTGAATCCTTATATCCACGAAAATAGGTTACACCACTGTATAGAAATTTATGCACTGAAAATATGCGAACAAAAAGCTTCAAATAAGCCGAGTATTTATGCTTTTTGGAATTTTCTTCATTGATATGATGGGGTAAGAAACTTCTTTCAGTAAGACAAAAGAAAATAAGTAGTACCTTTTATTTGTGTCTTTCTGAATTTGGGTCTGATTTTTTATTGGAGATTTCTTGTCTTCTTTAGGTTTTTCATCTAAAAATGAATCATCGCCTTTCTTTTCTAAAATTATTAAAACATCAATCAGTAATTGATAACTTTTCCTTCAATTTAGTAGCATTTAGTAACACTTTACATCCCTAACAAATGTATGCACACTTAAGAAAATGAGTATATTTTATGAATGTCTGACAAAGGCCCACAGGACAAAAGTCATTTGAACAAAATCCCGCCAAACAAAGGTTTTACATTCTGTACAGAGTATAGATGGTCTATCACTCGAAATTCTCAATTCTAAGAACTTACCTCCAGGTTTAAAGAAAGCCTTCATTCCATCTTTTTTATTGTTTGTTTTCTCCTAGAATACAAAGATAGCTTGCCAGACAAGGTAATATACGCCCACTAGCAGCTTTTATTTTAATAAAAATATTTGGCAGTACAGTAACAATCACCAGTATGAA